AGTTGGAGCAAGCAAGACGATTCGTGTGAAATTTTTAAAATTCTAAAATCATGAAATTAAATTTGCAACTGTTGTCGAAGCTTATCATCGATTTGACGTCAGTCGAAAAAAGAGAAAAGAGAAAATAATGTTAATTATTCGTAGAGTCGAACACGTTGTTATTATCCTATTTCTCAAAATAAAATCATCGATAATATCGATCGAGTCGTGTTCCAATGGTGGAGGATCGAGGCGAGCCGTCCACTTGCGTGGGAAGTGGAGATCCACGACGATGTATATCCTCGCGTTGCTACATTATTCATAAAAATAAAAGCGGGCGAGAAAATCAGCGAGAAAATGCAGCGAGCCGAGGCGGGCTTGAGCCGCTGTTACGAGAAGATTATTCAGCAGATCATTCAGCGGCCGTAGCCGCCACTTCCGCTTCAACCTCCTCCCGTAATAAAGTGATACACGCTGCTTGTCAGCCTTCCGATGTTAACGAGACGCGCTCGAAAACGGGATTTTTCTTTTTTATATAAGGAAGGAAATTTTGATGGACGAATGCAGATAGATGAAGTTCGAACAGGTCGATCGCGTAAAATTGGAAAAGAAGGGAATAAGATTTTCGACGGTGAGATTAGGGATATCGTAATACGACGCTTCGAGCCGAGTAACAATGTTTCTCATCCTGAAAATTTAATTAGTATTTTTTTGTTGTACCATACAACGAGATGGTACGATACATAATAATAAGAAAGGTTATAATCTATTTCTCTTCGACGATGAGGATGAAGAAAATGATAGCTCGAATGTTATATTTTAATTAAGTCCAGCTTCCTCGGTGACTCACTCCTTTCGAATAAACTCGATCGGGGAAAAAACTCGTTACACTTTCGAATAAATTTTTCGAGAAATATATTTTTAAAAATATTTAGAACATTAATAACACTTATCGAGCGAACGGAGAATGAACGAGATTATCTCGCCCTGGAAATAATTAAACCAAAGCGAACAAAATTAAAACCGCCAATATCCGCAGATAAACGTAGCAATTCGTCGCCGTTTTCCCTTTCAACGACCCAAGTCACGTTTCTCGCGGGGACGGTAGCCGGCGATCGTCGAATCTTGCCGATTAGATTCGCAGGGAGGACAGAAGCGGATCGTTTATCGGTGGACTCATTAATTACACCAGTCGGGGATTCCAGTCGGGGAGGACAAGCTTTTATCTGCTCGAAATAATAATTTACAGCATCGCGGCTCCGCTTAATCCAGCCGCGGCTTGTCACCGGCCGCCGCTTTATAATATACGAGGACGGATAGAAGCTTGACTGCACCTTTCTTTTTCTCTCCCTCTCCTTCTTTTTGAAGCTCGACAAATGCCACAAGAATCTCGAACAAGGGTTTTCGAAACGAAAAATTTCGCCTCTTTTACGAATCGATCTAATCTTCGATCAATTTCAACGCGAGAGAATTGTGGACAACGATTGAATAATTCCTCCTCCAAGTCGTGTAATTTGTCTCTCGTCTGACGTGCGAGCATTCCAAATACAATTCTTCGATAAACGAAATCCTCACGTTTGAAAAAGAGAAGGGAAAAGGAGAGAAAGAAAGGAAAGCGCGGAATTTTACACGCTACGAAGAATCATCCTTAGAGGAATAAACACCGCGGGGTGCAAGGAGGACGAAGACGCGTGGATTTCGGCACGTGAGAAATCCTCTCTGTTTCGGGGGCTCGTGTCCACGATCTCGAAGAGGATGAGAAGGGGAGGGAAGAAAACGGGTCGAAAAGAAAGCAGTTCGCCAGGATTCGCCAGGCAAGGGAAGAACGCAAAAGAAAAAGAAACGTGAGACAGAGAAAAAGAAAACTTGTGGAAAAGAGAGAGGGAGAGAGGAGAGTATCGGCGAAGGATGAAGCGAGTGTGCGAACGCGCGGCGAGCGGTCCGTCGCGCTTCATAAAAGATTTCCGACTCTTTGTGGCGGATCCGTTTAGGCCACGCTTAGAATAACGCGGCATTGTGCAATAATGTATCGCATATGGCGCATCTTGTAAAACTCTGCGGGCGTCCACCGTGGCCCGTGGAAGAAGGACGGATGAATGAGGTTATTCCCGGTCGCGGAGCTCGTTTCATTCATTCATTCATCCATCCATCCATCCATCGATCGGTGGGCCAGCCCTCGTGGGGAGGCGGTGAGCTGTGGGGAGGTGGTGAAGACAAGGAATTGGCGAAACATCCTTGCTTCCTGCCCCGGGGAATTTTTATCCTCGGTGTGTGAACATCACAGCCGGCTTCTCGACGCTTTTGCGCCGAGGTGTTTGGACCTGGCAAAGATGTATGGGACCCCAAGGGGCGAGGGGCTAATGGGGTTAACGATGCTGAAACCTTGGTTTTCCGGCTAGTTGCGTTCTTCTGGATCATGGGTTCGTTGAGACGGAGTGGTCGAGACGTGGAGTAAACAGTAGGAAAAATTTTCGGGAAACAGTGCACGTGAATAGCTGAGTAAACGGGCGAGTTGGATGATTAAAATTAAATGGTAGAGAAAAATATACGTATCGAAAAGGAGATTATTTAGATTTTTAGAGAATTGACATATATTATAAACTCTACGCAACAAAGCGTTCTTCTTGGACAACAAAAGCTCGAGAAGAAAGGGAGAGGGAAACAGCTTGGTTCGGTTTACTTACGGGCGAGAACGTTGTTGCGTACGAATTCGAAAGAAGACCAGTCGATTACCGCTCGAACGGATCCGATTAGTCGGAAATACGCATAGCTCGCCTGCTGGGCGAAAACCAGACTACACACACAGCCATTGTCCTTCGTTGTGTAGCAGGGATTGGGGCCTGTCAATAGGATCAGGAACGATAACAATGTGTCTCGAGTCAAGAGACCCTCGAAGATCCGTGGATTCTCGTCGTGGCTAATCCATTAGATTAGGTTTAGGCGTTTAGCAGGGGACTCGAGATCGAATCCCTCGAAGGGACGCGAACGCCATTCGTTGGAATTCGTTTGGCACCCATCGAGACTGGGTGCCGAATGACTGGCTACTTTCGTCACGAGCCTCGTTCAGCCTCGTGTCCCTGTGAAGAGGTGTTGACACGGCTTCACGCTAACTCCCGTCGACGTATGAATGGGACTTTGAATCGAGTCTACTTGTCGGCCTCGTTCCGGGACCCAATATTTTTCTAACTCGATTCGAGGAGCCTGTTCAGTTGGATGTGAAATCGAGGAAGAGGATTAATTTGGCTGCCCAAGGGCAGAGGTCTAGAACGATGTTTTCGCGAGTTTGTTTTGTCAAGGGGTCAAAGAGAAAGATCGGGGGGGGGGGGAGGGGTTAATTGGTTTGATGGATTCGTGACGTGCGCTGAGAACAATTAACGATGTATTCTTGGGTAATCGTATATAATAAGTGGAATTTCCAACATGTTGATCGTCGAAACGAATTTTTTAATGATTTTAATTTAAAGAAATCTGAATAATTCCAGGCAGGAGAAAGAGAAACGAAGTTTTTTTCTCTCTCTTTTTGAAAACTAAGAAAAAATTGAAAAAAATTTGAGGATGTAAAGACGAGTTCCATTAAACTCATCGTTTAACGCAGTTTTAATTTCGTTTCATTGTTTTATACGAATAAGACCAGGATATGTATAATGCTCCGTTTCTGGTACTCCAGAATACCGAGTCGTGTGTTTCACGGAGAAACAACGAAACTCATTACGCGGGGTTCGTTGCTTGCTTTTCCGTTATACACGATATCTGATCGTTATTCCCCTATTTTTTTTTTTTTTTTTTTCGTTTTCCAATTGCCTAGATCGTTGCTCCACGTTGCGCGATTTCGCGCGGCCATATCCTCCTTTTGTTTTCCTCCTGAATTTCCCCGTCCATCGTACAACTATTGATTCAAAGGAGAAAAATACAGGAAAAGTCGTTTTTTTTCCCTTTTATAAATTTTCATTTTCAAAACTGTCGCGATCCAATTTTTCGAGCAAATCTAAAAGAAAAAGAAAACATCCTCAAACCATCGATCTTCTTATTCACAATTATCCCTATTTTTCGAATATTTCGTGAAATCTCGGTGAAAAAAGAAAAGAAAGAAGAGGAGAACGTGGTCGCGCGTTTGTTAAAGTACAAGTTGTGGATCCGAAGCGGGATCGGGGTTATAAGATCGGCCACATCTCTATCTAGGTTGTTTAGTACGGGGGACGTAATATATTTGGGAGGAGGAGGTGGAGAGTGAGATAGGTGGTTTAGGTAGGTAGGTAGCCGTGGTGGATGTCGGGTAGATAGTCGGCCGGCTTCGGTAATGGAGACTGCAGGGTGCCGCTAATGCAGTAGCGATGTCACGGCGCCCGTTGCATCGGTATATATCCCTTCCTCCTCCCTTTCCGCCCTTTTGCTCCTCCGCGGTTTCACCTCCACGCACGCCTCGGCGATATCAACCGGAGAATTCTCTTCTCACCGTGCGTCCGCTCGCATGCGGTGTCGTTCCAACCTCGATCCACCGTTTTCGTGCACGCTTCCCCTCCGCCGAGCGGCCGCCTCCTCCTTTTCCTTTCCCCCCCCCGTCCGTTCCGTTTTAACGGAACCCTATCTACGGGGACACGGCGGATATCTGAAAGGGGGATACGTCCCCCCGCGTTTGTATCGTTTAAACCGAATGGGGGAAAAAATGGGCGCCGCCTGCGCCCCGCAGTTACGATAATTTCTTGGTTATTTTTGTTATGGCCTCGATCGACCGATTTCAAGCGTATCATCGTTTTGCACGATGATCCTTCGCCCGATTCCTTCTTAATTGGTCCGCCCTGCTCTTCCAGGAGGAATCACCCACCGTTTGATTCGTTTTCTTGCGAACCGTTCGATTTCCACGATCGCCTCGTAAATTGGAGTTTTTTGGATGGGCCGCTTGAGTAAAATCGAATCTCGCTGCAGATCAATATTTATATATATATATATATATAAAACTTTGTTTGAAAACGACTTCTCGACCTTCTTTCCCTCTCCAATTCACGTTTCGTTCTTTTTTCCAGGATGTTCGGCAGCATGAAGCGATGCGCCCGCTGCCACGCGGCGATCCTCGCCTCGGAGTTGGTGATGCGGGCCAGGGAGCTGGTGTTCCACGTGCGTTGCTTCTCGTGCGCCGCTTGCGCGGTCCCGCTCACCAAGGGCGATCACTTCGGGATGAGGGACGGCGCTGTGCTCTGTCGGCTGCACTACGAGATGGGCGCCGAGCTCCACCCCTCCCAGAGCCCTCCGGTCCCGGTTTACCCCCCCGGCCCCCATTACCCCGGCCAACCCTTCCCCTCGCCCGAATTCCTCCACCATCACCATCACCACCCGCACCACTCCATGCACCCCCAACACCCCCACAGCCACGTGAGCCCGGTACCGCTCCAGCCGTCCACGCCGTCCGTCCCGGACGCGGGCTCCCCGCCCAAGGTCCCCTACTTCAACGGGGCCGCTGTCGTCCCGCCGCCTAGACAAAAGGGCAGGCCCAGGAAGAGGAAGCCCAAGGATCTCGAAGCTATGACCGCCAATATAGGTGAGCGACAGGATTTCGATTTCGGCGATTCGAAGTGTTAAGTTCTTTGTTCTCCGAAGTAACTCGAGAGGCGACGATATTTATTTAACTCGTTTGATTTTTGAACTCTTCGCGTGTAATCTTTATATTTGTGGTTAGATTTTTTTTTTTTGTTATATTTTCGGTTTTATTTAGTTAGGATATTATAACGAAATTATTTCTATTCGTTGAGAGATCGACGACAGAGAGAAGGAAAATAGGGATGAAAATTGAGATGCAGTAAGAGAAGGTGAGAAATAAGAATAATAGATAACGAATGTGAGATACTAAAATGTTATTAAAATATCGCACGATTCTTCTTTCTTTATACGTAAAGATGGATAAAATGTTAAAATGTAAAAGTTTGATTGTGTGCGAAATCATTTCAAGTTAGCTAAGAAATTCGGGTGCTGCGAGAAATCGTGTGGAGTCGTTGGTTTGTTGCAAAGGGTTAACTTTGAGTCAGACTTATGAGAAAAAGTGGTGGGGAAGGATCGAGGATGATGGATGTAATTGTTTAATTTGCGAAGAAAAAGAAAGAAAGTTTGCGTTGTTTCTTGCGTTTGTATTTCAGGGACGTAAGGTAAATTGAAAAATCTTAAGCCCCTTGGTATATATGATACTCGTACAGACGATTTGCACGATTTCTGAACACTTCGTTCTGGCTGCGAAGTGATTCATTTGCTTTCTCGTGCGTTGTTGCGCGTGCCAGATTTATAAAAAGCGTTGCACGCATTGTCGTGCGACGATTCAAAAAGTTATTTTAGAAAAAAATTCTTCACGCGCGAATTAATATTCTGGCATTCGTTCCAGTGCATTCGATCGTGATTGAAGGTGAAACGTTCCGATAGAACATATGCAAATCGGAATGGAAACACGTTGCGCGTGTATTATACTAGAATGTATCACGCAATAATCGCAATTAGAAAGCACCAGACGTGTAACTCCGCCAATTCGCCGTACGATTTTTGGACCGTGAATTGCTCGAACGAGCAATTTTGCTTAATAGGAAAATTACTTTGTTAGCGCAGAAGGAAAAGGGTGTAAAGTATATATCGAAAAGTAAGCGTATCATCGATAACTCGTTCAATTTAATGAACTCTGCATTAATCTTAAAACGATAAACATTCCTTGCATCCCTAATTTTTGAATAATCCTTTCTTCCTATCCATCTCTATCGAACGTTCGAACTCTTTTCGTCCACGATGTGATCCATTCTTTGCCCATTTCCAAAAAAATTATCAAATAAATTCCTTAAGACACGTTCTCCGTTCTCTATCCGAGAACTAAAGCGAATCTAATTCCCCCATCTAAACCAAGACCGACTACCAGAAACGTTATCTACTCTCATTTCATTCCACTTCACCGACATCTCTCCTAATTAACAGCGAGACAAGTTGTCCACCTAACCTCTTCTAATCGCTTCGGAATAAACACACACCCCAATTACTCTGTCCTTCCAACCATTTCATTCAAGAACAAGAAGAGGAACAACCTTCGCCAACGAAACAATTTCAATCTCGTCGCGTCGAGGCAAGGATCGCGTGCACGAAAATTCTTAATCCTCTCAACGGAGACAACTCGTTGCAATTGGAATAATTCCATTCCGTCTCCATGTTTTGAGAACCATTTCCAAAAGAAAAATCATTGACGTACATCAAATTCGAATAATAACTCCGATAATCAATTTCATCCTCTTTCATCTTTTAACAATTTTTCAAGAAGTATAGCTAGATCGCGAAAATTCTCGAGACTTAAAACTCGTCCATTCTGACCAATTCTATTCAATCTTCCCCTCTTCCAATCAATCTACAATTGGAATAATTCCATCCACGTTCTAAGAACCATTTCCAAGAAAAAAAAAAAAAGAAAAACCTAAATCATCGGCGCGATTAAACGTAGATCAACTCGAGCCAATTCCCCTCTCATCCATCCTCCAAGAACAATTTCCAAAGAGGTGTAGCTAGATCACAAAGAACAAAACAATTTGAATCGCGATCGCGTGCACGAAAATTCTTTACAAGGGGTCCATCCTCGGGGGTCGGTCCACGCTCGAGTACGAGGCGCGCGGTCAGAGATCGCGCACGTAACACGACGACGAATCCTCCTCCTCCTCCTCCTCCTCCTTCGGAGGTGTGTGCCTCTCGTCGCCGTGATTTACGGCCCCGCGTGGGCGCGTGGTGTTTGCCACCGAACCCTGATAAAATTTGTCGCCGCGACATAAATTCACGAATCCAATCCCAACAAAGCGTGTACGTGTCGCGCGTGGGCAGCTCGCCGCGGCAGCTTCCTTCTCCGCCTTCGGAGAACTTAATTTCGATTGTTGACCGACCGTGGGAACAACGACTGGACCAAGACGAAGAAGAAGAAGAAGAAGAAGTGGAGAGAAGGCGCTCGAACCACCGGCCTTTACCCTGGTGGGACCAGTTCCACCATCCTCTTTCCTTTCCGTCCTTCATTTTCTTCTCCTCTTATTTTTTATTCCACTTTTCTTTTTTTTCGGGGCGAGAGGGGGGTTCTCGGCCGTTTTCAGTGAAAAAGATCTCCTCTCCAGGTTGGCTCGGACGATGATGCCTCGACACGCCGGGGACCCACGGATGACTGGGAATTATTTGTTTCGTCCGTTCGGATATCTCGGTGGAGAATTTATCGACGGGAATAAAATAATTTGATAGAGGGAACGCTCGAAAGGAGTTCTCTTTTTTTTGCCTGCACTCGGTCGCCTTCTCCCGGATTAGAGCTTGAAATTAATTTCCACCGTTTTGAAAATAACATTTTTCTCCATCCGATTCCGCGGAATCAGAATCTTCTGAAACTTCGGTTGAAAATTGAGAAACGGCTAATTATTCGAAGCGAGAAGAATTAGAAGTAATCAGAAAATTCTCCTAGGAGGATCGTCTCCTAGCGAGATCCGAGATCAAGTGCGCGATGGTTTCGTGGAACGAGTCCAACGTAAGGGAGGAGAAAGGAGGGGTGGAGGGGGAGGGGGGGAGGGAAGAAGAAAGAAACGACGGAGACGCTGGCCGTTTCTCGACGAGAGGTGAACGGTTTCGCAGATTTCCACGCGATAGAGGATCGATCTCGATCTTATCGATCCGGCATCTGGCCGGACGACTGTCGCTTTATTCTCGTGTGGACGGCTCGGGGACAGGATAGATATACCGGAATGAGGTATCGTGCCTGCAAACTATTTGCTGCATAGAGTTGTAATTGGCCGTGTATCCACTGGTCTTTCGCATACGCTATCACCCTTCTTGTTTGCACTCGAGGAGCTAATGAGCTGTGATACACATCAAACAGCGCTAGAGTCGCGACCAGCCGCGTTGCCGCTTCCGACGGTTCTTCGTATTGCCGGCCGGGGCAATTGTTGCCACGATAACTTTATTCCTCGACTTTATTCCCACCCGTTTCTCTTAGAAGATAAGATAGATGGAATTATCACGAAGACGTCACACGTATAATCGAAGGTGAAACAGTTTCGAAGAGGTTTCCACCGATATGATATTTCACCAAATATAATTCGATAGAATTTTTCTTCGGCAAACGTAACAAGGAAAGTAATGATTCCCATCGAGCGATCCAATCAACTCTCCTCTTTGGTCTCGAACCGCGAGAACAATTACTCGTGGCGCGATAAACGATCTGTGGCGAAGTGAGGAGCGATATTGACAGCGGTATCGGCGAGACGAACGGCGCCTGTGCCGGGACATAAATCCATGGGCCCCGGGTCCAACCCTTGGCCGCGCGTTCCGTCGCGGCGGAAAAAGATCCCCCTGGCCGATAGCGGCCGATACGGGCGGCTTCAAAAAATAGCCCGCGACACCGGTGTTTAATTAAGACGCATAATCCGGATGTTGGGGATTTATGTTTCAGATTTGAACGCGGACTACATAGATATGCCGTTCGGTAGGGGGGGGCCTGCTACTCCCGGCATACCTGGTTCCAACAGCCGAACAAAAAGGATGAGAACGAGTTTCAAACACCACCAGTTGAGGACGATGAAGAGTTACTTCGCGATCAATCACAATCCGGACGCGAAGGATCTGAAGCAGCTTTCGCAGAAAACTGGCTTGCCGAAAAGGGTGTTGCAGGTAAGCTCGCGATTCCTTCTTGTTTTTTACTCCCCGATTTTTATCTCGTTCTCTCGTACATTCAAAATCTGAGAGAGTGTTCAAAGTATAACTTTTATTCGGTTTAAATATCTTTTAAAAGTCTGCTTCTACGTTCGATGTAGGTTCTATTTGTCCTGACAGTAACGCGTTTAAGACATTCGTCGAATGATTGGAGGAAAGACGAGAGATCGATCGAGCGACAATGGAATAAATCGCGTTGGGGAGGAGAGACGACGATCCATGGTTGATCGAGGAGCGGACGAAAGATTCAGGAGGCGTGGAATCGTCTCGATGCGCAATTAAAAGGAAATTTAGAGGGTCGGCTCGCGGTGAAAGTATTCGCGGCGGGTTGTGCACAGGCCTCCTCCAATTAGTGCGCACAGTCAATGACGCATGACGCCCTTCATAGGCCAGCTAAAACCGTCCCCGGGGACCTTTTTCGGGTTACAGCCGTTCCGGACAGATTGTATCGTTGCCACCGCGCCTCCTCTCGTGTTGTTCGATCCGTGCGCGGTGTCTTTGGAATTTATGCGACCGTGTTACGTTTATTTCGGCGGCGCTCGAAAACGTGGAACACGCGGCGGTAGGTTAAAGATAGAAGAGATTGTTGGTAACGCGAAAAGAGGGACGACGAAGGAAAATCGTTGAAGACGTCTACCTCGAGATCCCACGCCTCGATTCGGTGATTCATTTTTTTGCGCCGCGTGAAGATAAACAGGCCGATTGTTTTCTCAACATCGGTCTCTCGAAGGGATCTCTCGTTTCGCCAACTTTCTTGAAAATTCGAACAATTCGAGAATAAGATTTCCCGCTAGATCGTTGCGCGAGTAACAATAATTGGAATATAAGTTTTCAGGGTTTCAAGTAAGTTGTTAAGTCGAGACAGTTCAAATTAGGTATCGAGTTTCGATTCGGGATAAAAAGATCGAACTTTCACGATCTCGCCAACCAAAACGCCTTTCACCCTCACTTTCCTCCTCAGAAAACCTCCCCTCCTCGCTTTTCCAAATCGCCGTAAAAGCGGGGCTCGAGGAGGTTTTAATTTTTAAACGAGTCTCGCGACCGACGTTCACCCTCGACAGATATCCATCGCGTCGGTGGCTCCCCCATCCTCGAGCGGGAGAGATTTCCGTGCAAAAGGAAAGGAGAGAGAAAAAGAAAGGGGGGAAAGAAAAATGGAGAGAGGAAAAACGCGCGGTTGGAAGATGGATAGCCGGTGGTTCGATCGTTTTTCCTCCTTTTTTCCCTTCCCTTTCCTTCCCGCCTCTCCTATAAAAATATTCACGCGCGGGCGAGCCGCGCGCGCGCGCCGGAGACGGCGCGCTTCTCCCAATTAGTGCGTGCTGCCGGCGGCGCGTTGAGGTAAAAGAACCGCATGGGCCACGGTGATATTTCCGTCGACGACCAGGCCTCTCTGGCCTTTCCCCGTAATTATGGCCCTCCGTCAATCCGCCGCTACTCAAAATCCCCCGGCCGGCCAAGTTTTGTCGTAACGAGCGCCGCGCTGCCCTCGTTAACCCACTACCGTTAAATTACACGGGCCAAAAATCTATCTCCTCGGGGGCGGCCGCGTACGAGGCCGCGAGTTTACTGCGAAGAGGTGCTCGAAGGATTCGATCCAGCCGTTGTGATCTAGCAGCAGGGACGGGAAGTTGTCGGCTACTGGATAATTTTCGATCCGTTCGCTTCTGGCCGTTATATGGGACACGGACGCGAGATTATAGATTCCAAGAGTTTTTCCGTTTGGGGAATTAATTAATTTGGAGGAATTTGGAGTGACTCTCGGATGGAAGATTTTTTAAAGATTTTATTTTACAAAAGTATTTCTTTCTTTTTAGTAGAGTTTTATAATAATAAGACTTGGATACGATGAGTGTTATTATATCGTATCGAAGGATATGAGAAAAACGACAAAGGGATGGAGAAAGACTCGTATTCACTACCGCCTACTCCAATTTCTTTCAAAATCTCCATCGTCACAAACGAACGAACGAACGAACAAACAAACGCTTGCCGACCAATTCTTCGCCACCTTCCATCGAGATTGACTTCGTTCAACCCAAAGCCGACCCAACTTTCTCCTCCATCTTTCTCCCCGACTTCTCCATTCTCCACAACAGAAAGAAACGAGACACTCGAAAATGCATCTCTACACACCCACGTGAAGCAGCCACTTCACGCGGGATATCTATCCACGTGAAAGAAAGAGAGAGAGAAAGAGAGAGAGAGAGGAGAAGCGACCGATGGCGCCGGCACAGCAGCCGGCAGAAGATCTAGAGAAAGAGAAAAGGCCGGGTGGGTTAGGGGAGGAGGCGCGAGAGCCGGCCTATTGTATTCGGTGCGGCGTAGGGTTCTTGGTCGCCATCTTGCTTGATATTGATCGCGAAACGCACGAATACTCGCTCATTCGCCGCGGCTGCGTTCGTCGCCGCTCTCCTCTCCTCTCCGCTCTCCTCTCCGTCTCTATGCACACTGATGCACGCACACACGCGGGCTGTACACGCGTGCAGAGAGAGGAAGAGCTGGGAGAGCGCAGGAAGAGGAACGGTCGGTAGAGTGTCGGCGCGGTTCGAAGCTCGCTCGAAGGGGAGGCCCTGCCAGCTCGTTGTTGCAAGTTTCTCCGCCGCCGGTTTTCAGTCCGCGGGGGAGGAGACTATCTTGAAAATGGCGACGTGGCAGGCGATGGCAAGCGCGGTGGATCGAGGCCGCCGTCCTTTATCTATCGGGAGGGTGTGCGGTGGCGTGGCGAAGGCGAAACAGGGGGCCCTCGAGGCGCTGTGTCGTGCCATTATATATTGTTGCATTGTGTCGAGGATGTGTAGCTATCCTAGCCGGGGCCCCACCTTCGCGGCCGTGCTTCCATTTAAATTGCGTTCCCCCCTTCCTTCTCCCCTGGCCCCCAAGATGAAGATATATCGAGAGCTTTTCGGCCTCCTCCTCCTCCTCCTCCTCTTCCTTTTGTTCCGCGTTTCTTTTCGGACGTCAGGCGCAATGACGCGGTCCCTCCTCCTCCCCTTCTGGGGGATTGGTTCCTTGAGTTGGTAAAAAGAAGAGAAGAGAATTCGGCGGATGGAAATGAAACGAGTATTTTCTTTTTGCTTCGTGAATTCGAAACTTCAACCTTTTCTTTCCCCCAATGCGATTTTGAAAGTTGTCGAATTGTTATCGAAGAATCACGGTACGTTAAAACTTTGATTCGAGATGAATATAAAAGTTGAAGTAATCGACAAAAATGGACCCCTCTTGAACAAATAAAATAAATATAATAATCCGGATGAATAATCAGATGGAGTTTCAGGAGCATACATTGAATACGTGTTGTTGGCAGGTCTGGTTCCAGAACGCCCGCGCAAAATGGCGGCGCATGGTGTTGAAGCAGGAGGGGAAGTCGGACAAGTGCGACGGGAGCGTGGACAGCGGTTCCCTCGGCGACCTTGAGCTTTATGGGAACAGCACAGGAAGCGGTGGACCGCCGATGAGCCCCCCATTCATGCTCGGCGGCCCCCACAGCCCCGCGTCCTTGGCGTCCTTGGACTGCGCGTGATCCCCGAAATTCCGTTTCCGCCAGATCGAACGATTCGCGATCCACTCTTCGATCCCCTCCTCTTCGTGGACGAGAACCCACGCCGACACGATGCACTAGTACAACACGGCTGTCGGTGTCAACGACGAGACCACGTTGCGAATAATTTATTCGTCCAAGTAAGCGAGAGAGAGAGAGAGAGAGAGAGAGAGAGGAGAGAAACTACG